TTACAGAAGTTTCAGTATTCAACAGAAAGGGGGAAAGCACCGTCCCCTGGGGTGCCCCTGTGCTGCAGACTACCACATCCGACACACAGTCCCACAGCCTTACGAACTGAGGTCTGTTTGTGAGGTAGTTAATGATCCATTCAGACAGGTGCTGGCCCACACCTGCCCCCTCCAGCTTCCCCCTCAGCAGTGACAGCTGGATTGTGTTGAAAGCACCGGAGAAGTCAAAGAACATGACCCTCACAAGACTTCCAGGGGACTCCAGGTGAGATAGGGCTCGACGCAGCATGTAGATAATAGCGTCGTCTACCCCGATGCCAGGACAATATGCAAACTGCAGTGGGTTCAGTGCTGAGCTCACTTGGCCACGGAGGTGGCTGAGGACAATCCTCTCCATGGTCTTCATCAGGTGGGAGGTCAGGGCAATGGGTCTGTAATGGTTTGACTCCTTGGGATGAGTTATTTTAGGAACTGGGACCACACAGGATGTCTTCCACAGAACCGGAACTCTCTCCAGGCTAAGACTCAGATTAAATATGTACAGGACCACTTCACTGAGCTGTTCTGCACACTCCCTGAGGCTGACGTGGTCAGGGCCTGTGGCCTTCCTGGCCTTAATCCCTCCTGACCTGGTCCACCATGAGGCTGAGGGGATGGGTGAGCAGTGACTGCTCAGGAGCTGTGGGCTGTTAAGAACCCCCCCCCAATGACAGTGGGAGGAGGGGCAAGGTCTGGCTGAGGCGTGAGCAGCTGCAGCTGCGAGGAGACAACTGACCTGGAGAGGTGAGACAGGGGGGCTGGCACGGTGGGGCCTAAGGACTTGGAAGAGTCAAATCTGTTAAAAAACATTCAGTTCATTTGCTCAGGCCTTGTCCCTCACGACCTGGTGACCATCACCACTTTTACAATGACCCGAGATGCGTTTCAGGCCTCTCCACACCTCACGCACATTGTTATTCTCCATGCTCTGGTCCAGCTTCTTCCTGTAGCTAGCCTTGCACCTCCAGATCATGTACTTTAGTTCCTGCTGCACTCTGCTCAGCTCCTCCTTATCCCCTGAGAGGAAAGCCCTCTCCTTCTCATCTCTAATAACCCAACTAATCTAATGCGTGCTGTCACTTGTTTTGTTTTCTCACTCCATTTTCTAATTGTCTCCTTTGGTGTCTCACAGGAGGGCATTCCAGCAGTATTACAAGGAGCACATTGGCTACTCCTGTCCCACTGAAGACCTCTTCATTGAATAACACCTGTCTTCCATCTGCACTATGTCCTGAATACTCACTATGTGCATGTAAGCCTGGTCTTACACCACAGTTTGGAACAGTGATGTAATTTCTTCAGAGTACTTGCATGGTGGATTTTCTTTTCTCTAATGAGGTTTTCCTTCACTAGTCACATCACAATATGAATACCTCTATAGATGGATAGATCACAAGATGTCCCCATACATTGAAAACAAATGTAATATAAACCTACTCAAACATAAATCTTACATAGATATATTTTATGAACTAAAATGATATGTAACTACATATAGAGTCAAAGCCAAAAATATTGGCATCCCTGCATTTCTGTCAGATTGTTACGGCTAGCCGTCAGGACCATGAACTGAGGACCCAGTAAGTGCAGGACTCGGACACAGACTTTAGAGAAAAGCAAAGGATTTTAATCAGGGAGGGTAACAGAAGGTGTAAGGAGTAGTGGAGACGTTACGGCCGGTACGGGCGACTGGGAGCTGTGTCGACTGGACCACTCGGTGAGTAACCCGGGGTACTGGGAGCTGTGTCGACTGGACCACTCGGTGAGTAACCCGGGGTACGGTGAGTAGAGGCAGCCACCAGATCGAGAAGAGAGGAGGGTGAGATGACTAAGCAGATCAATAGTAACTGTGGGGGAAATAATGATGGGAACCTGGATATGAAGCACTATGCTGTGCAGGGAGGCAGGAGGTGGTGAGATGACTGCTGCCCGGTGCGTGGATCCGCTGGTGGGGGAAGCTGTGGCTCGTCGCTATTGAGAGTGTAGCTCAACGCCAGCGTGGAAGGGGCGTCTGGGAAGCTGAGTCGCCGGGGATGGCGCGTACTGTTCCACAGGATAATCCTTAAATAAAAGTTCAGATAGCGAAGAGACAGCAAAGTGCAAAAAAGCAAACAAAACCCAAGCTCCCCAAAACCATAGTTCAGTCCAATACACTCCAGGAGATTTCCACTGGCACAAAACAAAAGGCCGCTCGTACGGCGATTCAGAGTTCAGTTCAGATAAGTGCAATACACAGGGATCATCAAGAACAAGTTAGCTCGGACTGCTTACTGATGATAGCGGGACGTCGAGAGATCATCTGGCGACAAGAACACACCAACGCTCCCCTCAAGTACTGCTCCGCTGATTGGGAGCAGGTGTGCCTCGTTGCCGGGAGTGCGCTCCAGCACCTGTCGGGGCGGAGCTGTTGATGGAACCAGGGCATGCGGACGAGGTGCTGGGAGCACACTCAGGCGTAACCATAGCACCACTTTTCAAAATCATCAGAAACTGTTGTAGTTCCAGCCTGTGATGCTCCTTTAATCTGTAATGAAAATCACTTGTAGCAACCAACAGGTGGTGGCAACATAAAAATCACAATGGCAAGCAGTTAAAATTGAGAAAAGTTGACTCAACCTTTGTGTTGTGTGGACCACACTGAGCATGGAGAAAAGAAAGGAGAGCAGACAACTGCGTGAGGATTTGAGAACCACAACAGTGGAAAAGCCTGGACAGACTCAAGGCTCCAAGTCCATCTCCAAAGATCTGGCTGTTCCTGTGTACACTGTGCACAACATTGTCAGGATGTTTACAGCCCATGGTGCTGTAGCTAATCTCCCTGGACTGATGTTCTGGGGCTGCTCTGCTGCTTCAGGCTCTGGATGTCTTGACTGTGTGTGTGGCATTATGACATCTGAAGACTACCAGTGAATTCTGAGGCACAATGTAGGGCCCAGTGTCAGAAAGCTGGGTCTCCGTCAGAGGTTATGGGTCTTAGAGCAGGACAATGAGCCAAAGCAGACTTCAGAAAGCACCAGAAATGGTTACAGGAAGTGGCTGATTTCAGTTATTTTGTCCAGAGGGTGGGCTACCAAATGTTAAGTTGAACATGAGAATACCATAGGATTTGTGACTGCAACAGTTTTCAGGGAGAAGTGGTGGTTATCTGACAGAAATGCAGCGGTGCTGATATGTTTGGCAGCGACTGTAGACATCAGGTGTTATACATATGGACAGCCTTCAAGAGCATGGAGTCAGCTTAATGAAAGGGCATTTTTATCATCAGTTTTCAAACTTATAAACAGCACTACATAAGGCGGCCATCAACCACTCTAGAAGAAAAGGCAGGGGATCAACTGAATTATTGCTGTTTATCCTGTGGGGCATGCAAGTATGTGTGTGTACTAGATTCATTCATTTTCTACCATTTGTTCCCTGAGCAGGGTCACAGAGCAAAGGCAGGGTACACCCTGGACAGGTCGCCAATCCATCGCAGGGCTAACACATAGACAAACAAACAACCACACACACACACCTATGGGCAATTTAGAGACACCAATCAACCTAAGCTGCATGTCTTTGGACTGTGGGAGGAAGCCGGAGTACCCACACAAGCACGGGGAGAACATGCAAACTCCACACAGAAAGGTCCCAGGTGGGGCCCGAACCTGGAATCTTCTCACTGTGAGGCAACGGCGCTAACCACTGTGCCACCATGCTGCCCCTGTGTACTAGAGTTCATAAGAAACCATCGTATATCTACTGACATATCTCACTCAAAAAGCTTATTTGTCAGCCTGAGGGGTCATCACAGTCATTACGATACATCCTTTGGGGATCGTGAATGTCAAAAATTCATGACAGTTTATTCAATATTTGTCAAGATACTCTGCAAAAAATGTTGGACTTTTTGACAGTGACATCAATAAATCCACACATGCCTAACACTGTACCACTGGTCAGACAAGCAGAGCAATTTTATGACATCACACTGGCCTCTAGAAAGTTATGATGAGCCTGCCTTTGTTAGTATTTTTCATATTTCATAAGGTAATAAAGAAATGGAAAAACTAATCCACAAATCAGTTCAAAAAAAGATTTCTTAAAATGATATTTAGTTGATTTGTAACTAATGCTTTGTCGCAACACAACCCCAAATCAGAATATAGATATTTTCATGAGGATTGTAGCTGAGCTTGAACTTCAGTGTCCTGTGTCAGATAAATGTCCAGTGAAACATGCATTTCATGTCAGTACAAATGTCGCCAATTACACTGGTATGCTTAAAACCCAAGGGTGTAAGAACAAATTCAGGCTTGATGTTCAACCTTGTCTTTTTAGCTTCATCCATAACTCTACACTAAAGAAGTGCTTCTTATTGAAAATAAGTTTCCCCTACAGTTTCAAAGACCATGCTTTGAATGAACATATAATAATTAACCTGCTTGTTTCTTTGCACAGATGATAACAGACCTGACCGTCTACTGTGGAGTTTGGAGTTATTTGTAATGGTGCCTCATGTTATTTTGCTGCTTTGTGTTCTTTTCTTCCAGCTACAACCCTTTATGCAGGATTTCTCTCACTGAGCAGTGACTTATTGTTCCTTTAACAAGGCCCCAATTACACAGTTCAGTTTAGTATGTGTAAAACACAACATACTGGAAGGAGTCACTCACATGACCACAGAGAGCCTATGGGGTATTGCCCTATTTTACAGCCATGTCAAGGAGTGAACTGCACATTGCATTCTGGGGTTGACAGAGGGTCTTGCCAGCAAAATTATATCAGATGTCACTTGCAAAGTAGAGCATTTAGGCTACCTAACACTACAGCTGTACCTAAAACCTTCAGCTCACTGTTTTGGTTTTCCAGCACACAATCTATGCTCTCATCAACCTTATATTTAGCAAGAGCAGGCAGCTACAGTAACATATTTTGCTAAAAAGCCCTGATAAACCCACATTACTAACCTTGCACCAAAGAGCAGACAGACAGAGCTGGCAACTAGCTGGTGAACATAGTGGCACATTTAGCAGCTAAAGAGCTAAATATTTTTCTCAGGTGTTGGCAGGGGCCATAAGAAAGTGAATATTAGACTTACATACATTTATTAGGTCATCTAAAGCATAAATCAAAATAACACTAATGTTGGTCTTTACTAGCTGGAGGTGTATAAAGATAACTGTTTGCTTTTACTGTATAATGTGGCGATGCTGTTTTCAGCTTGTGCTGCTGCCTCCAAGTTGACAAAAATATCATTAATACCACTTTACAATCCAGGATTTGAACTTTTAGACTTGATGTTCCAATGAGTACATCTGTAATAAAATTTAAAGTCAAAAGAAATTAAACCTGAATTGCTTTTTGTTCAAAATCAGTGCCTTTTGTTTGTTTTCTGGGTGTACATTTGATGACTGTTTCAATACTACCTGTTGATTTCAAATGTCTTCAATCAGGATCTAAAGTGTATCATTCAGATGGCATGATGTGGTACACCTAAGATGGCTGCTGTGGAATTTTAAATAACATCACTAGGACTCAAGTCAATCAGTCAGTGGTTGCCTGAGTAAATTTTAGCTTTCTGGCTTGTGTAGTGTACTGTCCACCATTTTCATTTCCATGCCAGCCATCTCAGGTTCACCATGTTAAAATCCTTTCTGAGTCCTACTCCTGTGATTTTAACACTACAGGGATCTACTGCACTTAACTCATCAATTGAGCTACATCCTGTATAGGTATAGGTACTGTATGTACAGTCCAAACTGCAAGTATCTGGACAGCTACACATTCTGTCCTTCATTCTCTGTGCTTCAGCACATTAAATTTGAAAGCACAGACTCGGAAGAAGGACAAGCACATAACTGTTCAGATACTTAACTGTCTGGACTGTCAGGACTCAATGTATATCTGTTTAGGAGTTATTATTTTATGCTGCTGGTATAACCAAAACCTGAGTGTAATGCATGATATTGATGTTCATTTTATTTTCAGTTAAAGTTGTGGAAAATCACTGTATTTTTCTGGTATGTCAAGTGTGTTAATACAGAGAAACCTCTGTAAAACCACCTGTTACTCTTTACAACCATGTGAAGGCATCAGGTAGACAGGAGTGGAGCAAAAAATACTGGACAGGGTGGCAAGTGTTGGGCACAGACTCAGAAAGGGTGGCATATTTGAAATACATGTAAATGAATCCCCTAGTTCTACAGTATGAAATAATAAACCATACCTTATCATTACCTAACTGTGGTTGCACTCCTTATTTACCCCTGACTGAGGAGTAAATTTTTCATTCTAGTGATATGCCGTTCACGACCGAGCCGGCTCTAAGAGCCGATGCTTTGTAGGGAACGAGAAGAGCCAACTCCCGCCGGGAGAGCCGAATCTTCAGCCGCTATTGGTCAGCTCTGCTGACAATCCATGCACAGAAGAGCGAGACTATTTTTATGGGCGCACCATTCGACCAATCACGTGCGAGGACAGACTAGACTCATACCATTATGTGAAAGACGTAAGGGGGCCGGGCCAGACGCTCAGACAGCGAGTGTAGTGGTAATACAGGACAGGTACACACAGATTGGGAGCCAGGTTAAAAGTAAGCGCGTCGGGAAAAACGGAGGAAATGTCCGAAAACCGAAAAAGAAGCCGCATCTGGATGCATTTCAGTGATAATGGAGACTGCAAAGCTGAGTGCCGAGTTTGTAAAATGAAAATATCTGTCAGAGCAGGGTCAACAACAAACTTGCACAGACATCTAAGA